TGGAAGAATAACGGTTTAACATCTTCTTATAAAGTCCAAAATTGATTCTAAAATTAAAGTAATATAGAATTCAGTAAAAGAACACTGTACATGATTCAAACAGCCATTTGAACTACAAACTAGATATCCACCCGCGGTATACCGCGGGCCTATATTTTTGTTAAAAAGAAATATAAATTTTTATTGTAAGGCTTCTCTTTTACATATATGCTATTTTTTTTTTTTTAAATGTATATATATATCTATATACGGTAGTATTAGTATATTTTAAGTTCATTTTTGAAATATAGAGATACTGATATATAGGGTATTAAAACTTGGTTTGTACTATTTCTATTGTTTCACCAAAAAAAAAAACTATTGTTTTCAAAATCTTATTATCGTGACCTTTATTTTTACATGTTCTCAAAGGGTTTCAAGTATGAAAGACTCCTAACAGATAACATGAGAAATAAAGGATAGATCACTTGAAAAACTTTGAAATCTGTTGATTGGAAACGTGTGTGTTGATGAATGAAACGACTGCTCTCGACATCTCTTATATAGGGAACAAAAAAATTAGAGTCTTCTAAATTATCGTTATTTTTTTGGTAGTGAAATTAGATTTTGAGATACAAAAATCTTATCTGAGTAAACTAACAAATCCAAAATATTGTGATTGAATAATGATTATCTTGTTTTTAGAAAGATTGTGATCTTTAGAATATTGTTGGAATATGCCAAAATCTATAGCAAATAAATGCACTTTTTTCTCTTCTATTTACGTAGTTACAAAGATATATCCATATGAGATTGCAATCTTTATGTATATGAATTAGTTTCTGAATAAATGTTAAATAAATCGAATCTTCGTGTAAACAATTAATCCCTGTTTTATTATGTGCATTAATTTCGGAAATAAATTAGATTTTGGAAACTAACGTTTAAATTTTCCTAATTAAAAAAATGAATTAATGATTTATATTGTATTAATTATTTATGATAAGGTATGTGGAATAATCATTAGAAATTTAGATTTGATTTTGATTTTATTGTTGTAGTAGTATCTATTTGCTAGATATTCTCGATATTATGTTTAATAGTATTTAAAATTAAATATTTGATTTCCATATCTTTGAAACTCAAATCTAAAAATTAGGGATGTTTAGTTAGTTAATTTATTGTCGATTTGTTTCTAAAGAATTTCAAATATAAGATTGCAATCTTTCCAAATATATGGCTATTTATTAGAAGCATTAATAAGAAAGATTATTTAGGATTAAAATAGGTAACTTAAATATGGATAATAAAAGAATTAATTTCGTTTTAATAAATGTGTTAGTGTTATACTTATACCCGATTGCCATAAAATCATGTCGTTTTAAAGTCGATTTGTTTAAAAATTTCCTAAAATTCCTTATCCAAGATCCGGATAGAGTTAAACCCGGGTAAAACCCGGATCCAAATGAATTAATGCAAAAAATACCCTGTAAAAATGTATATGTAGATTACACATTTAGATATTGACCCGTGGGACAATTTTGACTTTTTAATTTTGTTCTTCATAAATTTATGATTTTCGTAGTATATAAAACTGATTGGTGGTGTATGGTTTTTGATAAATTTAGCTCTTATAGTTAAATGTAGTATTATTTATATTCATATGTATGACAAAATATTTCTTAAAGTAAATAAAAGGATTTGTAAAATTATTCACATACCAAAAATTCTGCCCATTTTCATGGATACGGGATCTTTGTTTAAACTGAAAATTATAGATTTTTTTTTTCTTTTGATTTTTTGAACTTTATATTAAAGTAAAAAAAGTATTTGTAAAATAATTCACAAACCAAAAATTCAGCCCGTTTCTATGGAACAATAAAAAGATTACACCAATTCCAAATCATTTTTTTCAAAAGTGTTTAGTATCTCCGATCTATAAGAATAAAGCAAGAGCCTTAAATTAACACATCAAATACCAAAAGCAGAGTATAAATAAATACTTACATGGAAGAGTAACTCTTGGTGCATGAAAGTCAAATATTAATTGAAAGAATACGGTTATTTGAAAGAGCAAACAAACAAAAAAGCAAACATTGGCTTTCACATGTTCTCCTCAGGGACACATAATCCAGCCAAACATCTTCTTCTTGCAAACATAAAACATATAACGAAACAACAATATTTAATATACAGAGGAAATCTCTTCATCATATTTGAAAACAGTCACTAACCCTTACATGTATACCATCTCTTCCTCCACTGACTTCCCTGCGGATCAAAGACCAACCTTAGAACTGCTTTACCCTCTTGTCCTTATGCTCCGGAAATCATTGTGCGAATTATGATGCTATCAAACTGCTCGTCGTCCTTCCTTCTCAATTCCAATTATCTTCATGTGTGAGTTTGAATGCACAGATGGGACGAAGGTCGGGCTTGAGGCTGGTCGGTAATAAAGCGAAAATTTCCAATTCCTGAATCCAAACACAAAAAATGAAAATATAACATTATATACTAAAAACGGAAACTGAGATTTTAAAAGAGAATAAGCCTAGCTTACCATCATCCTCTAAAGAGAAAAATAACAAAGTGTTTCACATGCAAACTCAGATTAATAATATAATTAGACTATTTTCACAATCTAATACATTATTGGTAATTAATATCTGAATAATGGAAATATAAATGCAGGTGAAGAACACGCGCAGTGGCGGTGGGCACAAGGAATCTGAGGCCGAGGAAGAAGCATATACCCCTACCCAATATCAATACGCCATGCCCTGGGAGGAACAATTTTAAAAAAAAACAATTAACATTCTACGAAAAAAAATCAATAAAATAAAAAGAGAGAAAGCACCACGTGGATAGCTACCTGGCGATACAGAAGGCTTTGTGTGTTTGATGTTGCGATTTCGGTAGAAGAATAAAAAGGCTTTGTGTGTTTGATGGTGGGATGAGAAGTGAAGCTAAAGAGTTTATATAGGCGTGGAAGATTAGGTTACGAAAGTAGTGGTGGCCAAGGTAAATATTCATGCTTTAATCTTTTTAATCAAATCATTCTAATCGGATTTTTTTTTAGGAATATGCTTTAATTCCGATTTTGTATAGTAGTAAATAATTTCCTTAATTCAGTCGGTATGAATATTTGTCAACGATTTCTAAGGACAATATTTAAAAAAAAAAATCAAATAAAAACAATGAATGCTAATGGTGAATGAGTTCAATCTTTTATTTCCATTTCATTGTTTTCTGATAGCATTAATGTCTCAAATTTGTTATCGTAATCTTAGGCAATATTGCCGTAAATCTCTGTATAGATATTTCATTGAAATATTTCAACATTAAATGTTTTTTTTAAAATGTATTTATAGCAAGTGACTAATATTCCTATAATTTCGATAAAATGTATTAAATTCAGTTTGTTGTTTAGATAAATAATTAATGGAAGATCCGATCGAGATATTCTTAAGATATCGAATTGAATATCGTCGGCCTATAATAAAATAATCGTTTTTGATTTCAAAATATTAACTTAAATAGAAATGAAATGAGGATTGTTGAGATGTTTTAGAGATTGTGTCGTTGGGAGTAATTAATTGAGAGAAAAAATGTCCAAATAGAGATTATAGAAAAAAAGAACCAATTAATGTGGGAAGAAGTTAAGGAAATAGAGTTTAAATAGAATTTAATAATTAATGACGTTTTTTATTACAACATTCCTTAAAACTCTTATCCTAGATCCGAATATGATTAAACCGGGTAAAACCCGGATCCAAATGAATTAATGCAAAAAAACCATGTAAAAATGTATATGTAGATTGTTATTTTGATTTTAAATTTATTGCAATTTAAATGGGCAATTGCCTATATTTAATCTGTTATTGTAAAAGAAAAATGACATAGCTTATTATTAGAATATTAAACAAATTTATTAACATAATATATATATATATATATATATATATATATATATATATATATATACTGTTAAAAAAATAAATATGTTTTTTCTTTATAATTTCATAATATATGTATATATTGTTAAAATCTGGACATTTATTATGAGCATAAATATGAAAACGATTTTCCATTAAAATCGGCTATTTATTAGGGTCATTATTATGAAAGATATTAAGACAACATGACTTCATTTATTAGTTTGAAATTAAGACAACATCCCTTAAATTGCTAATCCAAGATCCGAATAGACTAAAACCCGGGTCAAACCCGGATCCAAAAGAATTAAAGCAAAAAAGTACTATAAAAATGTATATGTAGATAAGTCCACCGTTTACATGAGAACTGTTAGGGTCATGTCGAATCTAGATCTTTGAGTACAAACATTCTAAGATTAAAAAGAAATAATTTATATTTTCGAAAATGGCCATATATTAGCTTTTAACCCAAAACTACATATGTATGTAACAAGAAAATGTACGATGTAAATGACATAACTTTCAATTGATCTTTTAAAAATGGTAAAAGCATAATTTTTTTTTTTTTTGATAAGAATGTAAATATTTCATAAAAATGAAAACGTTTTAGGTTTACAATCGACGAAAATTATAGACCTACAGAAATGGTCCCATGACAAAAAAAAGTAAAATATAGAAGCATAAACCATAACTAGAATTCGGTCCATCAACTCAACAAAAGCGATGAAGCTAAAGGAGTTAGATGAAGCGATGATGATTTCGATTGCTCTTCCCAAATTTGTTGTTGGAGAAGAAGAGAACTGCAAGGAGTAGGAGCCTAATTACGAAAGAAAGATAACACTAAAAGCTAAAGGGTAAAAGCATAATTGATAATCTTTAAAAAGGGTAAAAGAACGGCTCTCTATATAATGTTACAAATTGTTGATAGAGACAAGTAGGATCACTTTTATGGTCGCAGACCTAAAGTTGACAAGCTGTTTTGCATCAAGCAAAAAAAAAAAAGAAAATATACCTAGTTCCTTACGACACTACATCATTACATGAATAATATTTGTTCAATACATGTGGCCCCTTCATATTAATTTGTAGCAACGTGGGAGAAACGACCGTTAGCATTGTCTTAGTGGATGTTTCTGGAGAAAAGCGAAACTGCTGGACCAACTTTACGAAAATACCGAAAATGACCCTACTTCCCTTCCACGGTTCCACCTTTCGCCAGCTATTTTTTCCTTTTCCTAAGAATAAAAGGTGAAGGGGCATCTCATTCCTTCTTCCACATTTGACAATAATACCCTCTCCTTCTCTAACCTATTCACAAAAGACAAAACTACCCCCGTCTCCTCTCCATAGTATAAGAATGCTGCACCGCGACATGACTATGTCTATGTATGTAGTAGAGAGAGAGAGAGGGACGTAGAGAATGAGAGTGATGATGAAGTGGGCGTCGTTGAAGAAGAAGAAGCAGCAACAAGAGGAGACGGCCAAAGAAACGCAAACATGGCAGCGATTAAGGAATCTGTTTTCTACGTCGTCTTCGTCGGCGAAGTGGAAGCGAGTGGAGATAATAATGGTGACAGAGATAGTAGACGGAGTAGTTTACAAAGTCATGTATGTAGTCGAAGCTCTTGTTCTCGTTTCGACGCTCTGCTTCTTCTACCTTTGTTGTGGATGCCACATCTGATCCTTCTTTTTATTTCTCTCATTATATTATTCTTTCCAATTCATATACTATACTGGGTTTAGTGTTAGCCTCAATTTTATACAAATAAGCTTAATTATACCATTATGTAGTCCTAGATTATAGTTTTTTAGGCTAATTCTTCAGTTTCGGCATTTGGACTCGTAGAGTTTAAGACTCTGTTATTCAATTTCTTGAGAAGATTAGAACAGAGACGACTCTCAAGAAAATGGGTTGTACAAAAGACATGTGAAATTTGTTCTTCTATCATTTTTAAGGCAGGGAAACATCAAATTTCGAATTCATCTGCCTTAAAAAAGTATTTGTATAGTATTTTCTCAAGGAAGGTCCACATGCTTCCACATTGATGATGTAACAGCCTAAAAGGGGTATACCAGATCATGTGATTGTAACCAAAAAAATAAAATCCTTAGGGACTATTTTCTTGATCATCCATCTCATCAAGAATCACATATTTTCCAGTCTGACTTGGAGCTTGTAACTGCGTCTCATCCTCTGTTTTGTGACCCTTTTGTAGTTTATCATATCTGACAAGACATCAAAAGCATATACCGGTTTCATCATGCAAATATGACATCGTATTCATTTATCAGCATATCAGATGTTTAAACAAAGAAGAGAGTTACTTACTTGTACCAGTTGAACAAACTGACACCAACCATAATAATCATCAGACCCACACCTTTCAGCCACGTAAATTCGTCGTGGAAGTAAAATACTGCAACCTGTAACAACACAATGAAGAAATACTCAACAGCAGCACTGATACATCATACAAATGTCTAGACAAACAAAAGTTGTCTGGATGTAGGCACATGTAGTTAAAGCACATCATAGTGAACGAGAGAAGCCAATTCTACAGACATTACTTCTGTCTCATCAGTCTCCCTTTTGTAAACAATTATTGACCTATAACAACATCGTAAGGCCAGACATGAACTATAATCCATCCTATGAAGCGTACTCCAAGCAAGTGTGTCTATTTATATGGCATATGACCAATATAGTCTCACCATCTTAAGATAGCAGTCTCTTGTCTAGAACATCACCGCAAGGTTTCAATCGAATATAGTTCAGACTTTCTTGCTTAAGAATAGAAGGAAATCAGAACTTACAATCTAGACCTCATCAGTTAGATCACCCTTTTCATGAAAAAACTCAGTTTAACTTAATCTTACGAATATATAACTGGTGAATTAAGACACGCATGAAGTTATAAACTTATAATAATATCTGAAACATATTACTAAACATTCCAAAAAGTTTAAGAATATAGCACATACCACTATGGTGACAGCCTCTTTAACAACACCCGCTATTGTGACGGTTACAGCACTGGTTACGGAAACAAGGACATACTCTGTCAAAACCTGAAACAAAATATTAAATAGTGAGCATGGAAGACTGATCAGATACGAAACTAGAGTTTCAAAAGATGCTTCAACCTCCACATATCAAGAAAAGTTCACTCTTACATAAGATTAGTAAATGCTCACCATACAAAAAGCCAGTGCTCCGCCAAAAAGCATCAAAAAACAAGTTCGAGCAAAATGTGCTCCACTATCAAAGTATTTGTTGTCTCTAAATTCACTCCATGGATCCAGAAGGAGAGAAAGAAGACCAGTCACTATCGCCATCACTGGTGCCACACAGCTCATGAAAATGAATGGATTTTTCAGGCCTAGATAAACAAAACAAAAAATGTATAAATTTATCTATAGGTCTTGTGACTTGTAAGAAACTAAGAACGACAATTATAGATTTGAAAACACCACGAGCAGAACCCACCAAAGGTTTCTTTCTACACATCATGTTGTCATCAGGATGAACCAAAACATTGGAAGACAAAAACCACAAAAAGTAAAGGTAAAGAGTTAATATATAAAGATCCAATTTATGTTTGACAGAAATTAAACTGAGTTAAATAATTTACCTGCAAAAGAACTTGTGTCATACACCAGCGGAAACCAGACATGACAGCAGCAAGCATGACAAAAACGAAACCCCAAAACTCAAATTCTGTCTCCTTTGCAACTGGATGCAAGTAAATATACTTGATGGTGAGAAAATAACAAGTTTATTGGCTTTGATTTAGGAAAAAAATCAACTAAAAACTTCTAGATAGATATTGTAGCAAACAGGTGGAAGAACAATGGAGTACAAAGCAATACAAATGACGAATGAAAACATACCTGTTAACAACACTCCTGCTGAGATCACTGAAATAATGCCAAAAAGTTTCAGGCTTGGAGACTCCAGCCTTACAAGAGAAATATTGTCTCAGAATAACACATCAAACAAAAATGATAGAAATACTCCATGATGAAGCAGCATTAAATTAATGAGATAATAAATGTATGTGTATACAAAAATTACTGCATCGACCGCTAAGAATGTGGAGAAGAAGCAAAACTGATAGGAAGTTTTAACTAGAGCTATAGTCTACCATCGATAAAATTGTAAAGTACAAATCAGGATAAATAAACAAACAATCGTGATGTATAAAGCACCTGAAGGCAAAAGCAAACAGAAGAAGAAATATTGGGGCTGCAGATTTGCACTGCAAATGAAAAAAACACATGAATATCATTAGATAAGTCTCACCTTGTTTCACCCGCAAATTCCTAAGAAGTTGCATAGACCTACCACAGTATATAAAATAACTAACCATTGTTGCAAATGTAACCGATATGAAGACAAGTGACTCATTACTTAGGTTTATATCCATAGCAGTTCCAAGCGCTGTTGGTACAACTGTGAAAGGGACAGTCCATGTGGGTCATCAGTTTATGCAAATTCAATCTATTCAACTTTCGAAAAACTGAAACAGGAATAAAACAAGAAATCCTCCTCTCTCGTTCTCACTAAATACTGTAGATGATAATGGCATTGCATAAGTTGCAGAAAGTTCTCAGTACTATGTAGTGAATACAAAGTAGAAAGTAATGGCTAAAGGAATGCCCTGGTTTTGTTAGTTTACCTCTAACGAAATAGTCTCTCCATGATATGGTAACATCAGGTTGAAATCTCCCCGACCAATACCATGTTATCATCTTTGATAAAACAGCTTGAATAGAAAAGTGAATGGTATTCATTAATAAGGGAGCAGGAAATTTCCCTAAATCATCTCCTAAGAGAGTTTTGTTGTACCTAGAAAATAAGCAAGCAAATTAAATGCTAGTTGTAAGGAATTAAAGGAAGAAAAAGAAAACGTTAGTCGCAAAGACATACTTACAGAGTCAAAAATGTGCTGAAAGTGTACCATACAAGTATAAAGAACAGTGTTTTAAGCACGTCAGCAGGAGAGATATCCGTTTTTGACGCTTTAGGCAATGTTTCGAGGTTATCACCGGAACTGTAACCAACATCAAAACTTCTGGAGCCGTTTGTCTCCTTCCCGGTCTCATTTTCAATATCAAACGGCTCTAAAACCTGTTCTCTGTCTACATCTACCTGATTGGATATAGCTTCTATTGTACCACCACGGAGCTGCACTCTTTGCTCCATCAATAATCTCAACTCACCAGCAAACCTTTTTGGCTTCCATTCGCAGACCACTCTGACAAAGCATGCGATCTAGTAATCACAGCCTTTATTTACTCAACAGGGATTTTGAAAAATACGAGTACCCCTTGTGATGGACAGCTTCCTTGCTTGGGAATTTCAAGGAAGAAAGTTTTATCTTTGACACAATGGTCACGATATTCGCATATGTTCAAATGGTTCAGTGCCCAACTCCCTCTCGCATATCCCAGGGGGCTAACTGAATTCAGAGAAGGTAGGAACCTAAGATGTTGGCGAACTTGCAATGCAATTCTCTGGAACTACTTGACGCTTGACCTAGAATCACAAACACAAGCTTAAGCAAGTCAAGATTTCGGTGAGAAATTCTTGAGGAGTAAGTGGAAAGCAAAGCAAGCAAGCACACAAGAGCCACATTTCAATCAAGGCAAGCTTCTAATACGCCGATGCGAAGACTCAAACAAAACATCTTCAAACCGAATGAAAAGAAGCCACATTTAATCTGATAAGAACCAAAAGAGTTCATCGACAGAAAAAATTTGAATACGTAACGATTCTTTAACAGGGCCGCTTCAAGAACAGACTAATACGTCACTGGAACCTAGAAAAAACAAACACGTACAGAGAAGGAAACCAATACGAATGAATCTGAGTTTCAAGAAATCAGATGAAATGCGAAAGAAGATCCAAATCAGGAAAAGCTCAATGATTCGGAGCTCAAAGAGAACTCCTCTCAATCTGGATCGGGAGTGAGCTCAAAATTCAGAGATTCAAAGCTATCGAACGCGGACTATGGAATCAGCAAATAGGGGCAAATAAAAATTTCGCAAGATTGGAAGAGAGAAAGACCTACGAAGAGAGAAGAATCGGCTTGTTGGATCTAATCGGAGTCGCAGCAACCGCTGGTTGTTGGAGTTTGGTGATTTTTTACGAAATCATTACCGCTCGGAGTCTCTGCAATGCAACTTGCGTTTTACCTTTACACTACACAGATTATATTATTTTCACAAGAATTAATAATTTCCATTTTTAATGGAGTTCTCGCTAATTTTTTTTATTTTTTGCGTTTTGGAGAAAAAATATTGAACAAAAAAAAAAAAAAACGGGTCGTTGTCATTCTTGTCCGTTTCCCCGGAAGAAAAAAAATCTTTAATCATCTTCGAGAAGATATTTTCAAATCCAGCGCGCGAAGTTAAAGCCACTCATTATTTCATCAATCCTGTGTCCTCTCACTCGCTCCTCCTTCTCTCTTTCTCTCCACCGATCGAAGAAATCAGAGATGGAGCATGAATCTATCACCGCTCGACGCAGGCTCGCTGCCGTCGCCGCTCACTTCCCGCCAACCAGTTACGATCCCGCCTCCACCGCATCTCTCGTCCCCTTGGTATTTCCCTTCTCTCTCTCTCTCTGAATTTCGTTCTTCTAGGTTTCTTCAACTTCGTGAACTTCTTTACTCGTTAGATGGTTTCTTTTTTCTTTCTGATCTCGTATATTGAACGATCTCGAATCTCGCTGTGAATTTACTTGCAAAATTGCATCAGATCGACCAAGTACAAGAGGGATTTATATAATAGGAACAGTTAGTCTGATTCCTTTGGACTTAAACCTTGGTTTATTTCAGAGGTGTTACAATGGAAAGCTGATATGCTTTTTGTAGTTGATTCTGCCTCAAATAGGTTGGTTCACTGTTTCCTTTATTTTGGTCTAATGGATCTCTTATTCGTGTGATGCCTCAGAACTGTAGCAGCAGTTTGAACTCTGTCATCCAAAGGTGTGACAACAAAATCTCTTTCGCCCGGCAAGCATCATCTGAACAGGGTTTCTTTATGAGGCAAGCTTCACCCGATGATGTCCTTGAGGTACCATAAGTTCTTGATTAGGTTTTTGAAGTTCCTTCTTCTCTGGTGTCTATAATTAGTTAAAGGAGTCATATCTGCAATGTACATATGCCCACATCATTAACCTCTTTTGCCACTTGTCATGATTCAGAACTTAGGCATGAATTTGAAGAACTCTGTCATTAGAAGGGGTGACAACAGGCTGTATTTTGCTCGGCAAGCATCTTCTGCACAGGGTTTTTTTATGAGACAGGCTTCTACTAATGAGGTACCATTATATTCCTTATTATTATTTTTTGAAGTTTCTCTTGTCTTCTATACTTCTATAAAAGAGAACTGATTCAAAATGTTTTGCCAGAGGACCATACCACAGGATGCTGCATCTACCAAGTGTTCTGCGACCAAAACAACTGGCTTTGATTCTTCTTCCCCTGCGTACGCTGCACCACACTTTTCTAAGCCTGCAAAAGAGGAGTTCGTTTTTCCTTCTGTATCACCAAATCTGCGAAAGGAAAGGCCTAAGCTTGTTCTTCCTAAGTTAGCCAATTTAGGTACGAATACAAATATAGGATACCAGATGCATTTCACTCCAATTACACCACTTTTCTAATCCTATAACCTGATACTTTTATTAGAGAACTCAAATGTTTTCTGAAGTTTACAAACACACAATTATTGTCAGCTATCACTAATAAAGGTGGTTTCTCACCAGCCTTGATCTACAGGAACTAGCAACCTTACTTCAAACAAAGGAACATGAGAACTTATAGAACTTTTTTCTTTTCTTTTGCAGGTACTGTTTGGTCTCCGAGATCGAATGTTGCTGAATCCGAACACAGCTATGTTGTGGCAATAGAGCTACCAGGGGCCAGTATCAATGATATAAGAGTGGAGGTCGACAACATAAAGTAACTGATACGCATTTTTTCAATCTGTTCCCATTACTAACACACTTAAAATGCATTGTGTAACAAAGGTGCTTACCGTTCTGCTGCAGCTTGACTGTGACAGGTAGACGCACATCTATCTGTCAAAAAGTTGATGCAGGCACCAAAGCTTCAATCCTTGGATATCATAAGCAAGAAATACTACAAGGACCATTCAAAGTTTCCTGGCCACTCCCCAGCAATGTGAACAAGGATAATGTCTCCGCTGAATTTATGTAAGTAAAAGCTATACTTATCTAATAATCCAACCGTATTTACAATAATTCTCCTTAAAACTTTCAATACTAGAGTTCATATGATAGATTCTGTCTAAAAAGTAGTGGTTTTCGAATCCAATTTTAAATCTTAGTGCCAGTCAGTCATTATCTTGAATTAGTTAGATATAGTTTAGCAAGTTTTATAGAGAGCACTAACATCCAATTTATTATTGCGTTTGGAACAGGGATGGGATTCTGAGAATAGTTATTCCAAAGCTTTGAGGGTTCATCGTTCTGGAGACATATATAGATACGGGCAACATTGTGTGGAAAAGAAAAAATCAATCTTGAAGAAAGATATGTAAAATAGTTTGGTCTTTTATATATCACAGATTGCAGACAGGTATTACTCAAAGTAAGCCATGTAAACAATCCATAAATATATAAAATAAAGTCTTCATTACTACTACCAAAAGCCAGAAAAGAAAAAGGAAAAAGAAAAAGCTCAGAGGCATCTAATCATCCTAAAGCTGGGAAATCTCAATCTACTCAACTACATAGCAAGCATTATTATTGTAATAATTAGGAACCGGTCCAAGATAATCAACTGCAGCAGATGGCGTCTGAGACGGGTATGCAAAAGTGTTTGCAGGTAGATGAGTAAGCTGCACATACGTACCGGTAGCATTGCAGAACGCCCAAGGGGCAGCTGAAGGATGGTAGGAGACAAGCTGAGGCTGCTCATAGTTTCGGACATATCCATTATGGAACACAGGATATGAAGCTACATTCTGCTGACACATCAAAGGAACAGGCTCAGGCGCAGGGGCGGCAACGAGGTTTCTTTTCCCAATTCCATAGATCAATCCTCTAGCAAATCTGGAATCTTCATAGACTTGTTTGAGCTTGATGAAGACAAGTGCAGTCATTAAGCTGTCTGAACCAGCGTGGTGTGCTCTTCCGACCCGAGTGATCTGAAGCAGCTGGGCTAGTTTGCTTAACCCGAGGTGTTCACCGAGCCCTTCACAGAATCCAGCCATGACCTTGGTGTCATAAACTTGACCGAACACTTTGACAACCTCTGTTGCAAACTCTCCGTGAGTCTCTGGTAGCTTCCCATTGTTGAGGATACTCAAGAAGTAAGCGAAATCGTAAGCTCCTTGAAAGGTGACGAACTCAACGTGTTTCTGAGATCGAAACACAGTCATAAGCTTTGGGAAAAACCCGTAGCCGAACATATCAACTCCTTCGTCTCTAATCTTCTGCAAATCCAAACCATGTCTCCTCAAAAATTCGATCGAAATCTCGTTGCGTGTGTCAGATGGGTCGCCGAAATTGGAGAAGTTAATCTCCCAAACGCCACCGATCTCTCCCTTGGCGTTGAAAAGAGTGAAACCACACTGGATCAGTTTGGTGTTTTCGACATTACCTTTCATGGCTCTGTAACATTCGTCGCTAGAGGAATCGAAATAAGTACGGAAAATAATGCCAGGGTACTCTGTATCGAAAGCGATGAGTGGGAATCTCTTGAGACATTCCTCCATACGAGCCATCTCTTCATCGACGTTGCTTCTCCATACTCTCCTCGCTATCGGTTGATGAATCTCGTTCATGATGATGAGTTCTGCAGAAGAAAATTAGGGTTTTTTTCTTAGGAGGGAGAGGCATGAATACGAGAAGTCTTTTGTTTGCTTGATTGAGAGAGCATTAGGGTTCTTTGTAAAAAAAAAAAAAAAGAGTATTTATCCTTTTCTTAAATAAAATTCGGTGTACCTGAGTTTCCTTTTTTCTCGGATTTTGTTTTAATTAATTAAGATGTTTAACATACATAGCTTAAGCTAATAGCTTGCTCTCCAATTAATTTCAACGCTGTGTTGATCGTGTAATCGTATCTGGGCGGTTTATATTCGCTTTAATTTTTCTTTTTAACTTTTGTTAAATTTAAATTTTAGAAATTATCTTTTCTTTTTTCTTTCGTTAAAAGTCTTGAAATTCTTGTTTTTACCTTTTTTCCCCTAATTTATTTATGGCAACATTGATTTATGGAAAAAAAAAAAAAAGGGAATTAAGGGGTACATCTCTTTTACTTTTTTATCCTCTTTTTTAAACAATTCATAAATGGCAATTATCTTTTTCATCCCCAAAAAAGTAAATTATACTCAATAGATAATGGCAAAACTGCCAATATACAAATTAGACTAATTTGTAAATGAGATCAATTAGTGTTAACTTTTTATTTTAAACATTTTTTTTTAATCAAACAATCATAAATGATATAAGAACTTGACACTAATTATAGAAATCGCATCATACCATTTTAATTCTTTGCAAGTCAAAAAACTTTTATCTACTCGAGCATTTGTAAAAAAAAAAAAAACTTTTTAAAATTTATAGTATTAGAAATTTATCCATAAGGACCATAACATTAAAATGATTTTTATAAATTAACTTTATTATCTATCCTATCAAAAATTTTGATATCAAACTATTATGTAGTAGGCTAAACTATTATTCTATCAAGTTTTGGTATATTAGTTTGAATGAATTTTGTAGCGGTACGAGTAACTGCTAATTCGTTTATCACTTGGCTTATATATGTGTGGTTATATACTTATAGAGGTGTTTGGGACATGATTATACAAAGGTCCATATAATTCTTCTACTTCATTTTCGGTTCGTTTCACAGAGGCAATATTGGTCAGAAGTTTCGTTTTTTTTTTCTTGATGCCCGTAAGGTGTTCGATATAATTCCGCAGAGAGAGTGGGTATTACAGCAACGTTGTCGAACGCGGGAACCCAAGATAGCTCCATAAACTCTTTGAGATAGTATGAGGTTCCTCCTCATGAGATCAATTCTGATTCACCCTTGTGGTGGCTCCATCATCAATGCCCGATCAACGACTACCTCTGCTCAATATGTAGCTTCCAGATCAAGAGACCCTGTTTTCGAGAAGCTCATGGACAAATACAAGAACCTTCTCAAGGTCATTGCCATACAAGACCTTATCCTCGCCAATCCAACAGCTGATCCTCCCTCTCTATCCATTGACTTTCTCTCCAGGCTCTCCCAGAAGCTCCACCTTAACCGTGGCGCCGCTTCTTTTTTAAGAAAATATCCTCACATCTTTCATGTCTTGTATGATCCTGTGAAAGCTGAGCCCTTTTGCAGGTTAACTGATGTAGCCTTGGAGATTTCTCGCCAAGAGGCTTTGGCTATCACTGCTACTCTGTCTCTTGTTGTTGACCGGTTGGTTAGGCTCTTGTCTATGTCCATATCAAAGTCCATCCCGCTTCGTGCGGTTTTCAAGGTTTGGAGAGAACTTGGGCTCCCAGATGATTTTGAGGACTCTGTGATATCAAAGAACCCTCATCTTTTTAAGCTTAGTGATGGTCATGAACCCAATACCCATATCTTAGAGCTGGTTCAAGAAGAAGATAAAAGACTGGAATTTGAGGCCGCGGTTGAGAAATGGAGGGTGGTTGAGTGTTCTAAGGAGGACTGCTGTGTCGAGAGAACTGAACTCCAGTTTAGTTTCAAACATAGTTACCCACCAGGAATGAGACTGAGCAAGACCTTTAAGGCTAAAGTTAAGGAATGGCAGAGGCTGCCTTATGTAGGGCCATACGAGGACATGGCTGGTAAGAAAAAGAACAGATCCGGAGTGATGGGAATAGAGAAAAGAGCGGTTGCGATTGCTCACGAGTTTCTCAGTCTGACTGTAGAGAAGATGGTGGAGGTAGAGAAGATCAGCCATTTCAGAAAATGTTTTGGGATTGATTTGAACATAAGAGATTTGTTCTTAGATCACCCGGGCATGTTTTATATGTCAACTAAAGGGAAAAGACACACTGTGTTTCTCAGAGAGGCTTATGAAAGAGGACGTTTGATAGATCCAAATCCTGTTTACGACGCGAGGAGGAAGCTTCTTGACCTTGTTCTCTTGGGACGCCATGCTGCGTTATCAGAATCTGGGAGCACTAGTATGTGTGAACAAGAATGAATTCAGATGAGTCTAAGCTATGCAATCTTCCATATCACAACCTGTGAGGTGTATGAGACACTTGACACTTGAGTGATGAGATCCACCAGAGAGATGAGATCCACCAAGAATCAGGTAATCTTGAACATCTCTAGCTGCATAGCCATTGAGGAAAGACAGTATAAGATAAGCATTGTTTCTGTGGCGTTTGTCCGATTTTCGGATTAATTGTCTTGCTCACAAGCAAAAGCTCAAGATAATAAGTAAGCAGGAAAAGCGAGTGAGTTGATGTATAAGTGAGTACTTACTTGGATCAAAAGTTGTATACGAAACCAATGTAGTAGTAAACTGTCTTTGTTGGTTATGTCGACAGAAAGTTAGAAACTAGTATCCAAACTCAATACGTCTTCTTTCTTTGGATTTTGCTTGGTTGCTAATTGCTTCATGTGGCTTTCCTTGTTCTACTAAAACTCTCATTATTTTTGTTGTTATATTTTTTTTACTTTGACATGTTAATTTTATAGAAAATAAAATGTTCTTTTTGTTAAATTGGAATATAACCTTGCAATCTTTTTCATTTATCATTTACAGGGGTCTAGATTAGAAGGTAAATTATAATGTAAAAATTTTGATTGAAATATTATAATTTTTGAAAGATGTTTAAACTTTAAAGATTGTTTTAGTGAAAAAAATGGTTAGGGAAAAATGTGACAGAGAATAATGAGTGAAAATAGAAAAGCGTGAGGCCATTGAAAGGAAGCCACGTAAGGTGTTGGGAACCACATCTCTTGTCTTCAAAGATATACCACGCTTCATTCTCTTCTCCAGACACAATCTCCTTCTCTCTCTTTCTCTTCTTCTGCCAAATTTCCCCAGGTGCGTTTCACTCTTAGCTCATTCTGTGTAATCTCAAATCGTTTGATGATAAAAAAATTTTCTTTGAAAAATCGGTCTTCTTGTTGCATGATTCTTACTACCTCGGTTTTGTTCAGCAAGTCTATTTGTCTTTATTTGTTTTCTTCTTAATTTGACTTGAGGAATGTCGAGTAATGGTGGATTCATGTGTTGAAACGGAGATTAATTTATATCCAATGGCAATTTCAATAGATTTTTTTTTCTTGGAGCATAAAAAAGTTCCAATCTTTGTTCATATGCGTCGCTAATGGTCGCTCATGTTGATTATACTGTTACCATAAACTTGCATGTTGTTAAAGGTCTCGTTTTTGTTTGGTTGTTCTTCGTTCAGACATCATTTTTTTTGTTCACGCCATGGCTTTGTAATCGTCTGTGCAGATGGCTGCTTCATCAGCTTGTCTTATTGGGAGCGGATTATCTGTCTACACAACCAAACAGAGGTCTCAAAAGCTTGGGCTTGATAGGGCATCTAAAGTTACAGTTGTGAAGGCTTCTTTGGATGAGAAGAAACATGAAGGAAGAAGAGGTTTCTTTAAACTCTTACTAGGAAACGCTGCAGCTGGAGTGGGTTTGCTTGCAAGTGGAAACGCAAATGCAGACGAACAAGGACAAGGGGTTTCTTCTTCTAGGATGTCTTATTCTAGGTTCCTAGAGTATTTAGACAAGGGAAGGGTTGAGAAAGTAGATTTGTATGAGAATGGGACTATAGCTATTGTGGAGGCTGTTTCTCCTGAGTTGGGTAACCGGATTCAGCGTGTACGTGTGCAGCTACCTGGATTGAGTCAGGAGCTTCTCCAGAAGTTGAGGGCAAAGAATATTGATTTTGCAGCACATAATGCTCAGGAAGACCAAGGTTCTCCGTTACTCAACTTGATTGGGAATCTTGCATTCCCGGTTATTTTGATTGGCGGTTTATTCCTTCTATCGAGAAGGTCCTCTGGTGGAATGGGTGGCCCTGGTGGCCCTGGCTTCCCACTCCAAATTGGTCAGTCGAAAGCAAAGTTTCAGATGGAACCAAACACTGGTGTAACTTTTGATGATGTTGCTGGAGTCGACGAAGCCAAGCAGGATTTCATGGAAGTGGTGGAGTTTCTGAAGAAGCCTGAGAGGTTCACTGCAGTTGGTGCCCGGATCCCCAAAGGTGTTCTCCTTGTTGGTCCTCCTGGTACTGGGAAAACCCTGCTGGCAAAAGCCATTGCTGGTGAAGCCGGTGTGCCCTTCTTTTCCATCTCGGGTTCTGAGTTTGTTGAGATGTTTGTCGGTGTTGGTGCCTCAAGAGTCCGCGATCTTTTCAAAAAAGCCAAAGAAAATGCTCCATGCATTGTTTTCGTGGATGAAATAGATGCTGTTGGTAGGCAAAGAGGAACTGGAATTGGTGGAGGTAATGATGAAAGAGAACAGACCCTTAATCAGCTCCTGACTGAGATGGATGGTTTTGAGGGTAACACTGGTGTTATCGTAGTGGCTGCAACCAACAGAGCAGACATTCTTGACTCCGCTTTGCTAAGGCCAGGGCGGTTTGACCGGCAGGTATATATTTGATTAGAATGCCATGTGTCTGTGACTTTCCATTGATCCTCTTTATTGCTGGTTGCTTAGCGTGTGTTATTGTTGATGCAGGTGTCTGTTGACGTTCCAGACGTTAAGGGAAGAACAGATATACTCAAGGTTCACTCCGGTAATAAGAAATTTGACAATGGTGTTTCACTTGAAGTAATAGCCATGAGAACGCCTGGATTTAGCGGAGCTGATCTTGCAAACCTCTTGAACGAGGCTGCCATATTGGCCGGCCGCCGTGGAAAGACTGCAATATCATCAAAAGAGATTGATGACTCAATTGACAGAATTGTAGCTGGCATGGAAGGAACAGTCATGACAGATGGAAAGAGCAAAAGCTTGGTTGCTTACCATGAAGTTGGCCATGCCGTATGTGGGTAAGTCAGAATCAGATTAGATTGCATGTGTGTGGTATCAAGAGCCTAGTTTGAATTTCATTATTTGTCCTCGCAGAACATTGACTCCAGGACATGATGCTGTCCAAAAGGTCACGTTGATACCACGAGGCCAGGCAAGAGGTCTGACTTGGTTCATTCCCTCAGATGACCCAACTCTAATCTCCAAACAGCAGCTCTTTGCAAGAATTGTTGGTGGACTCGGTGGTAGAGCCGCTGAAGAAGTCATCTTTGGTGAGCCCGAGGTGACTACTGGTGCAGTTAGTGACTTACAACAGATCACCGGTTTGGCTAAGCAGGTATCTACTACAGTCCCAGCTTCAGTATTTTTTTTCTGTTATCCTAAACTAGGGAATGAAATTGACAGTATATGATCATCTACTTGCAGATGGTGACAACATTTGGGATGTCTGAAATTGGACCATGGTCGCTAATGGATTCATCGGCTCAAAGCGATGTCATTATGAGGATGATGGCAAGAAACTCAATGTCTGAGAAGCTTGCAAATGATATAGATACAGCGGTGAAGACATTATCAGACAAAGCATACGAGATAGCTTTAAGCCACATTAGAAACAATCGTGAAGCCATGGACAAGATTGTTGAAATACTTCTTGAGAAAGAGACAATGTCAGGCGATGAATTCCGAGCAGTCCTATCTGAATTCACAGAAATCCCACCTGAAAACCGTGTTGCTTCTTCAACATCCACATCAACACCGACACCAGCGTCTGTCTGAGTAAGAGACCTTTGAATCTCTGTGTATATTATCTTGAGATACTTCCCCATACTGTGTAACAAGTACATCTTAATTTGCCTAGTTGGAGTATATATATTCGATATACGCGACCTTATTTCAAACTCAACCATAATGGTTAAAAGTTTAGATTCAGCAATGCATAGTCATACATAGACTAATGGTGAAATTACTAGTCCTGATTCCTGAAATAAGCTGCAAGAGACTTGACACAAAACTGAAACAAAAAATCCAATGTTAAGTCATAAGCTTACTCATAGAAATAAACTGACGATGCTCCAAATAATACATTTACTTTACATACACAACTACTACAATGCATTCCCCAAGGACATGGACAACCAAATGCTTATAGGAAAGTTGTAAAAATCCTACAACACCTGAAGACCATTATTGTTCAGCTTCGATTGTATTAGTCTAAGACCCTAGAAAACAAATGATCCAAAGTTGCAACCTTTAAACGATAGATAATTCAGACGCCATAGTCACCGGCAGCTCTGTCGTTCTTACCCTTCTTCACCCACACCATAGTACTTGTTGTTGCCCTCATAACACGTGTAGACGACAAATCATGTCTTTGGTTTTGGTGATAATCTTGCTTGGTATTTAATCTCGCAGGTTCCTTGACCTCACTTGTCTCTCCTTGCTCTTCTACTTTCTTCTTGATCCAGCGATTCTGAAAAAAATGAGTTCCTTCCTTAGCAGCATTCTCTCCCTTGTACTTGAAAGCTCTCCTAGCGTTCTCTTTCACAGTATACTTCTTCTTTTTCTCCCTCGTATCTCCTCCAACGTCATCCTTGTTGCTCACAACAATTGCAGAGACCTCAATTTCCTCTTTCTTAACGCCACATTGCATACCCTTTTCCCCGAGCTTCACTTTTGTTTCCATGGCCTTTACTACCTTCACTGCATCTTCTTCTTCTTCTTCTTCATCTTCTCTCCTTCGTTGTCCATGATCAACCTGCTGCTTCACTCCTCTCTCTACATAGTCTTTTTCCTTTTGTTTCTGCTCTTTCTCCTTCAGCCAACGTTGCTGAAGCTGAAGAATGGAGACGTAGTTAGCCGGAATCGAAGCCACACTCTTCTTCTTCTTCTTCATCTTCCCATCAATCTTCTCATGATCCTCCATTGATCTTTCTTTTTTTTTACTTAGAAAAGCAGCTCATCAGTCGCATTATTTTACTCATCAATGCAACAAAAAAAGGAAAGAGTGAAACGATCGCACAGTAAGCGAGAAAGCCGTAAGGCCCATTGGGCTCAACCTGATTTTAGCTCTCCGTTCACTATTTTTTAATTGCACCGTTATAACGTTTAAAATGACATCCCCCACCATTATTAGAAAGGCAAAATAAATGAAAACAATTCAATAATGGAAACGCAACGTTATCTTTACATACTATTTTTTCACAGTTTCGTTTTTGTTCAGATCCAATAAACAGCCGAATCCAGTTTTGATATCCTCAAAGATCATCCAATTACAAATAACAATAATAATAATAATGATAATATGAATAAAAAAAAGAAAAGTATCAGGAAAAGCTTCTGCTTGTTTGTTAACTTCAACATCCTGCAAACACATTCCTGATGAACCCAAACACATCTCTATTTTCCTCCTCCTTTGATTGATTGATTGCTCTGCCAATAACTACATCTGAAAAGAACAAAGCTTCTCTTCACATCACCATTTTGTTTTTTTTTCCTTCTTACCATTATTACTCTCACTACCCTTTTCTTCTTTTCTTTCTTTCTTTCTTTCAATCTCACAAACACAAACAGACCAACAAACTCCCAGTCTCTTCTTTTCCTTGTCTTTGTCTGTCTAACCTCTTCTTTAGCCATCTATGCACATCATTCATTCATTGTATTTATAAGAACGAGATCATAGATTGTTGCAGAAAATGAGCAACTAGAACTGGAATTGATTGAGATCATAGAGAGTAAAACCTGGCAAAAGATCTGGTTTCTAATCAAAGGGCATCATCAAGTTCACGCATAGAAAAGTTTGAAGCCTCTGATGCTTCAGCTAGAGATTCAAGCATGCATGTCACTTCAGTAGTATCGTCTAAGTAGTATTTAGCCTTGCTTGGCTTTTGCCCAACTGTGCATGCAAACACTAGAGCATTATCACAGAGTAACCTTTTCGACATCGCATTACCAATCGCTTCAAACATGTCTTCATCAGATCTGTCATCTCCAATACATAGCACGAAATCAACCGGTTTCCCCTTTTCGGCCATTGATGAAAATATCTTTTCTGACACGGATCCTTTGCTCACCCCCTATTCTCACACAAACGCCAAGAATTAGATTTTTCGACAACGTTAATGCTTGAATTGAGCAGAAGAGAAGTAACTTACCTGAGGCTTGACTTCTACGATGTAGTGACCACTTTTCACTGCCACTGGCTCATTAGCTAGGACACTCTCTAGATGCTCTAGCATTTCCTTTGCTTGTAACGAACCAAAGCCTGGATCCGCATCCCGATATTGCCAAACCAAAGCACTCTCTTTGATTTCAATGGAAGAGCCATCAGTAGATTCAGTGTACTGTTTCATTACAGGTTCCACGATCTGCATCCACCCAAAATCAGAGCTCTGCCCACATGTCTCCCATTCTTCACTGCCTGACCACCTAAGAATAAGACACCAGGCATGTTACTAAACCTGAAGGAGGAGAATTTTATAATTTTAAACAAGTGGTAATAAAAAGTAGCGAAGAAAAGTACTTCAAGAAGTATCCATGCTCAGCCGCAATTCCAATGTTTTTGCACGGAGTGAACCACTTGCCTAAACTTTCCCTCCCTCTTCCGCTGACAATGAAAATTGAATTCTTCTTGTCCTCGCATAGTGCATCCAAGAAGTTAAGAACTTCCTGGCTTGGAGCTTTATTGATGGAGTTTTGAGGCATCAGAGTGCCATCATAATCCAACAGTATAGCTCTGCTTTTCGCCCTTTTGTAGTCTGACACAATGCATGGTATTGAAAGCTTTCTAAAATTGGGATCGAGTGCCACAACTCTGAAACCAAAACTAATCCCCATCCCCCAACACCTTTTCTTGAAATGGTCCACACATATCCTCTCTAGGTCTTGCAAGAAACTTCTTGACCAATAAGCTACATCGTGAGTACTAACATACCGAAAATGTTTCTCATGTCGCAGCTGTTTCTCGGCATCACTCATTGAGAGGGCCTCATTTAGGGCTTCTCCAGTAGCTTCAACGTTCCACGGGTTTACGCGTATAGCCCCACTAAGTGAAGGAGAACATCCAATAAACTCTGATGCAACCAACATGCTCTTCTTTGGGCCACTAAAGTCTGATTCAGACCCAAGTAAACCCTGTCTACAAACGATATATTCGTAGGGAGTAAGGTTCATACCATCTCTAACAGCTGTAACGACCACGCACTCAGCAATATGGTAATAAGCATTTATTTCATTTATCGACACCGGAGTATCAATATATATGACAGGTTGATATCCAGGTTTCCCAAACTCTCCATTGATCCTCCTGCAGCTTTCTTGGATTTCACCACGTATTTCCTCAACATCAATACCTTTACCCCTAGCGGGATTTACAATCTGAACCAGAACAGCCCTTCCCCTCCAATTCGAATGCTGCCTCAGCATTTGTTCCATTGCTAGAAGCTTCAGGTTTATACCCTTGAAAATATCCATGTCATCGATACCAAGCAACACTGTCTTACCTTCGAAACGATTTCTGAGCTCCATCACCTTACCCTCCTCTTCTGAATATCTCATCACCGATTGAATCCGACCCATGTTAATCCCCACTGGCATGATCTTGATTCCCACAGTCCTCCCGTAATACTCCAGCCCAATGTAACCTCTCTTAGACTGATATTCTAGACCCAACATCCGACTACAGCAAGTAAGGAAGTGACGAGCATAATCGAATGTGTGAAAGCCAATCAGGTCGCTGTTTAGTAACGCCTTAAGTATCTCCTCCCGGACAGGAAGAGACCGGTATATCTCAGATGAGGGGAAGGGACTGTGAAGGAAAAATCCCATCCTTATCCGGTTAAACCGTCTTCTCAGAAAAGTTGGTAAGACCATCAAATGGTAGTCATGAATCCAGACAAAATCATCATCTGGGTTAATAACCTCAATAACTTTCTGGAAGAAGAGCTTATTGGTCGCTACATAAGCCTCCCAAAGAGACCTATCAAATCTTCCACCATGATCAGCGGAAAACGGAAGCATGTAGTGAAAAAGCGGCCATATCTGCCTCTTGCAAAAACCGTCGTAAAACTTTGATTGCAAATCAGGTGGGAAAAACGTAGGAACACATTTAAATTTGTCCAAGAGTATCTGCGCGACATCATCTTGTTCATGTGAATCAACATCAACGCTCAAAGATCCAACATATAAAATCTCCATATCCTCAGGCAAACCATCCTTAAGCTGCAAATACAGAGAATCTTGATCCCAACTAAAACTCCAGCTTCCATTTCGTCTCTCGGCCTTCAACGGTAGCCGGTTAGCCACAATGATCATTCGATCAGAGGAAACGGAAGAAGGATTATCGGAAGACACACTATATGCTTGATCTTCATCAAACTCAGACACATTACCAGGAACAGTCATTACCCTAGGAAGCCGCCTACGCTCTCTTCCCATGACAGGGAAATTCCCTGATGCCAAGTCTAACAAATTCGTGTACGACCTAGAAATCATCTTGGCTTGTCTCCAAACCCCCAAAAGAATCCAAAAATTAAACACTAGTTCGATAAATCTGCATCAGAAGAAACACCAAAAAGCAGTAAGGTCAATCTCCACGAACAAGATCTACGATACCAAAATTATATTAAAAATAAAAAAATTCAGTATTTCCACTAATTTGAATACCCATCAAGCCAAATCGAAAGCTTGAGCATTACCCAGATATCCAAAAATCAATACTTATTAGTAATCATTTTCTATCACTGAGTTAAGAACAAAAAAAACGGAGCTTTACGACAAAATCGAATGAATGATACATTCCTATCATCTAAAAGCAAGATCCATGAAACTAAGACTCGAAAGGTAATCAGAAGAAAGATTCACTTTTCAGATAAACGAAAATCTAAATCGGAGCGACCCGATCCCTCAATTCAGCAACACACAGAAAAAAAAAAACAAAAAAAAAAAAAAACGAAAATGAAAGAGAGAAAATTTGAATCGGAAAAATCAATTTGGAATAGACACGAATCGAGACTCACCTTTTTTGTTCCTTTGGCAAATGAAGAATCTGATCTTCTCTATCTAACCCAAAAAAAATGAAACGTGAAATTTAATCTAGGGTTTATATGGAAAAAACGCTAAAATAAAAATAAAAAATCTGTGTTTCCAGCCTCATATGTGTATTTTGGAATAATATCAAATATGCCCCTCTATTCTATAGATGAAGCTACTATGACCACTGTATTATATATACTCCAAAAGTCAAAAGTTTCTTACCATAAAGAGATAGATACCCTTTTCCTTTTTTTTTATTTAAAAAGCAATTATAGGATGGCCTTTACATCCTTTTTTTCAAGTGATAGGGCCTCTTCGTTTGTTAATGACAACGATAGCGATAGCGACTCCGACGAAGGCAAAAAATATAACGGAGATAAAAAAACAGTCGCTCAATATGGACGTCGGCGACGTAAATAGTGAAGATGTTGAGTCGCTGTTATTTTTAGCGACACGTGTATATGCCTTATACGCCGCTGTTATTAGCATCCAGCGACTCCTCTCCACACAACTCTCCACAGACTCCACGTAGTTAAGCAACTGTTTTTTTTGTCGCTGGATCTAGTCGCAGCGTTTGGGAAAAGAACAGGGCCATACTAGTAAAAACATATTTGAATTGAATTATATTTTTATATAATTTTTTATGAGTATTTCATCGTTTTTTTCCGTTTAGTATATCATCATTATAAATACTTTATTTTTTAATTAATAACAAAAAAATAAATAATTTGGTATATTAGGGAAAAATATCCATTAACTAAAAATGAAGAAAAAAAACATTCAGAATTTAAATTGTAAAACTAGTTTTAACAAAAAAAAAATATAAATATATATTGGGTGTTTGGGTGACATTATTATAATATAGGGGCAAATTATAAAAACGGATGAAATAAAGGTGGGAAGGTGAAAATAAGCGTAAAGTCGTACGTATAAGAGTCGTACATCGTGTGTGCTCTCTTGGATATGAATCTCAAAGGGAATATTATTTTATGTTTTTGATTTTTTGTGTTATTTAATATATAAGGGTTGGTTTAATTATGATTTTTACTGGTCAAATCGAAGGGGCTTAACAGACTCTGATTACATTTAAAACCGAGTGGTTGCTTTGCTTCGCTGTCCACAAGTACATGTCATTAAACAACGTACTTGACGACCAATTGGATTCGTCCGTGACGTAGAAAGAAGTGACAGCCTCAGTGGTAATAGCATTTGCCTTCGTTTAGAAAATTTGGATAAGGCTAGTTTGGCCAGCCGGACTCGCACTATTGCCAGCTGGCACGAGTACACACCCAAATGAGTTCGTCAACGCGCAAGGGGAAGCGCGTGGATGAGCGGACACGTGATATGGAGAAAGAACGTGAGGACGCGTGATGCCGTGTGCGATGCGATGTGTGGACCACTTTGGGCTATTATAAGCTACTACCTTACCAAACGTGTCTAGGACCTCGTTTTGGACCGTTTGACACGTGTCGAAACAGGGGACACTTTTGAGCGTGTGGTGAACCAGAGTGTTCAAGTTTCTTACGTTTTTTTTTTTTTTTTGGACAAAATGGTAATAAATTTATTCATTCATGTTCGTCTATAAAAAAACAAATACTGGTATGAAACTAGTTGGTCAATTAACTGTTGGTTGCACTTTGTCTAATTTTGTCTTTAATGATTGATTAGTTGTAGGCTTGCAGTTACAACCTCGATAATAAGATATTTTTGTGACGTCAGATTGTAGTTGTTGTGATTTTAAATTGTACCCATATGTGAATTTATTATTGAGAAACCAAAAAAATACAGTATACAAAAAGAATTTTCAGACTTTTTAATAACAAGTTTATGAGTCTAAGAGGATCATGTTATTGAATTGTTGGGTTTTCAACGTTTTTCCTTAGTAGAGAGATGGAACAGAAGTGTTTTAGCTATTCAATATCAATGCATACATCTAATCTTATAACCTTCAACGTCAAGAAAAATTTTCGAAAGTAGGTATATGTTTATTGTTATTTTAGTTTAATTATAGAAAATTTGTATACGTTCTTTTTTTTTAAATGATTATTTTTGTGAGTGGAAGTTGTTAACAAACCTATATATCGAGAAGATTTCCTAAAATGTGCAACTAATTAAGCGGAATCATCTTTTTAAAAAGTTAAAAAACTTTTTCTGTTAAAATCTTTTTAATAATTCAAAAACAAAAAGAAGCAAAAAACGAACCCGACAAAAGACTTGCATCTGATTCATTCATTATCATCAAATTATACAGAAACACAGTAAAAAAAAACCCAAATCTCTAATCCGAAAATTGGATCTCTCTGTGATGGCTAGTTACAGAGCCGATGAAGAGTACGATTACCTCTTCAAGCTGGTGTTGATCGGCGACTCTGGTGTCGGCAAATCGAATCTGCTGTCTAGGTTCACCAAGAACGAGTTCAATCTCGAATCCAAGTCTACTATTGGTGTTGAGTTCGCTACCAAAACTACTAAAGTCGAAGGCAAAGTCGTCAAAGCCCAGATTTGGGATACTGCTGGTCAAGAGAGGTCCGATTCTCTTGTTTTCAAATTCTTAGGATAAGGTTTTTTAAAAATCATCCTTTTTGGATTCGCTGTAGAACCATGGTGTTTGATTTATGTATCTGAGAATCTGTAGCCTACTGATCTGGATATTTTAATATTGGTTTTGAGTGATTTGGTGCTATAAAGATCAAGACTTGGTTTGAGCACACAAGTCAAAAGTTTGTTGTTCATTTTTCCTTGTTGGTTTTACTAGTAGCACAAGTAGGGTGGTTTTCTGTGTTTTCGATTTTCAGAACGAAACTTGTTGTGCCTGAATTTGTAAGTCTCTTTGACGGAGCAACTAGTAGTCTTAATATGGTTCAGAGTCTCAAATTGTGCTGAATATGGCTCAAAGTCTGCAGTTTACTGAGGATCTACTTAGGATCTAATCACATTTGGGCTACTAATGGTTTTCTTTTGTGGCATAGCTTTTGTGCTTATAAGATTCTTGTGCATAGATCTCTATCCCTCATATATGGGTCTGCTTGATTAGCTCATGCAATCCTCTCCTGTCTAGGTCCATTCCCATAGTAAAACTACTACATGTCTCAAGTATCAACGGTTATCTAACCTCTGTTACTGTACTAGTTTTTTGCTTTTCCACCCGGTTCACACATAGATGAGCTCGTGTGTGATGGACTTCTAAACCCAATATACTTGGTCAAAACAACAATTCTTTCATCTCCTCTGTCTTGGCTTGCACTAGACATAGATACATTTTGAATTTTGCAGCAGAGTTCTTCATGAACTATATGTGATTGTTACTTTATAAAGCAACCATTTGGTAGATACCATGAAATACCTCTGAAACATTTGTTATATGAGCAATATGCTTATCGTAGATAGTCTAACTTTGTGATAATGTTACTGAACTTATTACTGTAGTTGTTATTGTACATATCTCTGTTAACAGCATCTGAGATTATTTTGGTTTTGTTTATGCTTTGATAGATACCGAGCAATCACAAGCGCTTACTACAGAGGAGCCGTAGGTGCTTTGCTTATTTACGACGTGACAAGGCACGCGACATTTGAGAATGCAGCAAGATGGTTAAGGGAACTAAGAGGACACACAGACCCAAACATAGTGGTGATGCTTATAGGCAACAAGTGCGATTTGCGCCACTTAGTGGCAGTTAAAACAGAAGAGGCTAAAGCCTTTGCTGAGAGAGAATCTCTTTATTTCATGGAGACATCAGCACTCGACGCAACCAATGTTGAAAGCGCATTCACGGAAGTACTCTCTCAGATCCACAAGATAGTGAGCAAAAGAAGTGTGGATGGAGGAGGAGATTCGACTGAATTACCAGGAAAAGGAGAGACGATAAACGTTAAAGAAGACGGATCGGTTCTTAAGAGAATGGGTTGCTGCTCTAACTAGAGTGGGGGATTGTAGATTTGGTTTGATTTGGTTAGGGGTGAGACAGCAAATGAAAATCTCCTTGGCTATGGCAATCAAAAATGAAATAAGAAACAACTACTTTAAGATCATGTTTATGCTATGATAACTTTGGCCTGTAAGGGCTCTTAAATTTTAAGGTACATGATTGGTATTTGTCTTTGAAACTCCCACCACTTGTAAAATTGTAATAAACTAAACAAATGCATAATCTTCGACTAAGTAACATTTCAAAGACAAATCTATCGACTCTTAATTTAAGAGGATAATCATATCAGGTTTTTGTTGACCAAAAAAAAAAAAAAAATCATATCAGGTTTTATTGTTAGGACTTTAAGACTCTGTAGATTAACTTTTGGACATGACATGGTTCAATATTATCACCTCGTTTTTTTTTTCTTTTCTCTACGGATCTGTCAGAATTGTTTTACGGACAAAAACATATACAGAAAATACACGAGGAACAGTGTCTCTCTCTCCACTCTCCAAGCTAAGGAATAAAAAAAAAATAGAAGCAATTATCAGCATCTGATTTCTCAAAAGCTGAAAATGACTTTACTACGGGTATAGAAGCTGATAATAGTTGTGGTTAATATATTGTTGAACCTGTCAACTATCAAATAGAAGTAGTAAATCTGCTTTCTCCTCTTTTTCTTCAGACATGCACAGTTTTTAACTGTTTTGTAATCCTGTGCCCATCTGTCGTCTCACATGCTCAGGTATTAGCCTGTTTACTAGCTCCACTGAAGCTCCACCTAACTGTTTCCACAAGCAAAGAACCAATTGGGTTATGTTGTGAAGTTTCACGAAAAAAGCAGCAATTTTTTTGGAGCTTAGCTTTAGTCCTTTGCTATTGATTTTTTTTTTACCTCTTGTTTGAAATTGAACAATGGCGGTAATGGACGACCATTTGGAAGACGGGCGTTTGGCTCTCGGAGTTCATTGAAAAACGGATGGGCACATGCTTCGAGCTAGATAGACAAAGAAAGAAACAATGCCTGAATAAATCTCAGCTTTATCCATCACTTGGAAGATTATTTAAACGAGCTTCTATGACTCCATCACTTATAAAGTCAAAACAAGTTATCACAAGGAGATACTAACCGCAGTGCATCGTAGGCTTGGTGAATATTGAAGAAGCCGAGATGCAAGGTCAATGGCTTCTGGAGGCATCCGCTTATGAAAAACCTGAAGGTCAAGGGAACAGTATATGGTTGTTGTTATAAATGAAAGCCATCTGTAAACAACAGAAACCTCTGCTTCTATGAATAATTATTGAGTCAAGTAATTGTTTGACCAGAAGAAAAAAAAGGTGAGATGAACTACCTTGTGCCAAGGGTGAGCTTTGATTTGTGGGAACCTAAAGTCTGTGTAGTTTGGGTTCATACATCGAATTTCTTCACGAGTTGGAGTACCAAGAACCTAAACAAGGCAGCAAGTGTACTTATGGTACCATATTTACTAGATTCTAGTTATCTTAAATACCAAAGAGAAAAAAGAACACATCCATCAGTCTTATAGGAGACTTCACCTTTATGATCTCCACAAGCTGATCAACTGAATTTTCTCCTGGAAATAACGGCTGTAGAGAGAGAGAGAGAGTGGCTTAATATAACATTGGGCGGGCACTTTTTGCATTTTGCATAGATACTTTATTTAACAAGTTAATTAACACATAGATATCCACACTAACCTGGCCAAGAAGAAGCTCTGCCAGAACACAACCAGCGGACCATATATCTATGGATGCTGTATACTCTGTGGCGCCAAAGATGAGTTCTGGAGCTCGATAATAACGGGAGCAGATATATGATATGTTTGCTTCACCTTTGACCTAATATGAATTACCAAACATTTTAAAAGGGTAACCAAAACAGAGAACATGCTGCTCGCACTTAATGGTACTTATATGGTAGCTCAGTGAACTACATGCGTAGATACATAAGCAAGCCGAAAACCCAAAAAAGAAAAGAAAAAAGAAGAACGTTAATGAAAGGATAACACCCTTACCAATACTTTTGCACTTCCAAAATCACACAGCTTAACCTGATGGGTCAAGGGATCAACCTACAGTGTGCAGCAGAAAGTTAGATCCAGAAACTAGTCAAGATTACAAAACACATGTCATACTAGATAACGTACCAATAGATTTTGTGGTTTCACATCTCTGTGGCAAACACCGGGAACAGTATGGATGTAAGCCAAACCTCTAAAGATCTGCATAATTGATATTTCTAATCAGTTTCAGAATCAATTCTATTAAATGATATTATTTGTGAGAACTAACTGAAAATAACAGTGCATACTTGATATGTGTAAAGTTTGACATAGAAAATTGGCATCCTCTGATTTGAACTAGTATAGTGCCTCAAAACCCGGTACAAAGTCTCAGGTACATACTCCATAACAAGGTTGAGGAAGAGCTCATCTCTACTTGTTGTAGAGAAGAAACAATGCTTCAAGGAGATGACATTTGGGTGATCCATTGGCCGCATTAGTTGCAACTCACGGTTTTTGTAGCGTCGATCTTGCAAGACCTTTTTAATGGCTACTGATTCTCCAGTTTCCAAGCATTTCGCCTAAAATAATAATTTTCAGACTTGGTCAGAAAGGAAAAAGAAAATTTATGTCCTGGAAATGCTAGCATAGAGAAGCACAATATACCTGGAAAACAATTCCGAATGAACCTGTTCCAACAACCCGCTCAGCCATGTAACTAATGGTCTGTAGGAGAGAGAATAAAGATAATGTAAGAGAGTGATGAATTACTTCAGCTTGGGAAAAAGTACCGAAAGCAATAACTGATATTTAGTTGGAAGATTTTGCAAACATTAGAATCCAACCTGCTTCGGTTCACCATTTTTGCCCCCAATGGTAGTGGAAATGATATGACCGGTAACAGCATCATTTCCCTCAATAACAGCAGCAGACATTTCCTGCAAATCCACCTCACATATTAGTATAGGCATTAAAATGTTCTGATCAACTACAAGGTGGAATAGAGATGGTAAGCATTTACTGCTTTCACTTATTTCAACAAACCTCAAGATAAATATGGATGCATGAGAATGCTGTTATTGCTATTACATAAATGAGCAGAGCAACTTCATCTTATCGAAAATGTGAAGCTAAACATGTAACATGTACCAAATAACCAGTAGTCAAGCCAACCAAGATATAGAAAGAATTAGAAAAACAAAGTAAAGCATAAGTTAAACGGCAGTGATGGAAATTCAAGAATATAGCGATTTTTTAGATGTCAAACAGTTTGTGAGATTAGATATCATACAAAAAAACTAGAGATACATCAGACACGTCAATGGATTTGGTCTGCCAAAAAAAAATAAAGGGGTCCAGGATAAATGTCGGTGGCAGAGATAGAAGGAAGAGAGACAGAGAAGCAATGGGCCAAGAGAACCATAACAATAGGAATACTCCAAAACCTGCCAAGAGTGAATTCAGAGATCTACAAGTAAACTGTACTTTGAAATATGAACAGTATTAGGAATAAATAATCTGAGATATACAAAATAAGCAAAATGTACTTAAAAGTGAACAGTGTTGAAATAAATAATCGAAATATCCAAAAAAAAAAAAAAAACTTGAAGACACAAAATTCAAGCTAGTTTGATATGCTTCGATGTCCTGCTATCAGTTGGATAGCGATGGAAAATGTAGGTTTCCTAAGCGGAAGAAATTATCTCTAATTCTTTAACCTAAATTTTCCACAAGATTCAAAGATTACTGCTACTTAGATCTCCGATAGAGAAGGTTGAAGTTGTAGCTGGGAGATACCAAGAGTAATCTAGCTACTGCATGCAAACAAATGAAATCAAAATCACATTATCCTATCAAAACGCCTCGCTGGAGGAAAAAAAAAAAAAAAAACTCTCCGGTGAGCTCAGATCAATACGAGAGAGGAACAAACACAAGAGCACAAGAATACAGATCGATTCTACTGTACTGAGTCATAGAACAAATAAAAAGAAGGAGCTAGATCGGAGTAGATCTAGAAGAGCCACCCAACGATAATTTCAAATGCACTGTTTACCAAACACAGACGTAACAGCTATACAAAAAAAAACATAGAGAGACACGGGGAGAAATAAACCTTATCAGAATCCATTTCAGGACGGCGTTTCAAAGCGTCGCCGTCGTGAAGCTGCGGCTGCGGCGGAGGTGGAGCAAGAGCATGAGGCTGATGCCCCAATGGTAATGAGGCCATGTGCTTTTTTACTCTTTTCTCTCTCAACCACTGAACAATTGAGTAAAGACTATTTTTCCTCTCTTTGCGTCTAAATTCCAGAAATTATTCAAAAGACAAAGGAGGACCCACGGAAGACTCTCCAATGAGAAATCTACTTTTTAATTAATAAAGCACTGAAAAATTCTGATTAAAAAAAAAAAAACACTTCCTTAGGCATTTATTTAATGATAACTAAGTTACTACTTAAGTTAGAACTCCATTAAATATTCTAACTGAATGAATATATGGTATCAGTTCCAATCATATTACCCAATTTAGATATGAAGCTTTACTTAAGATATTTGCAATTTGCAACCATTATATATCTTTTTGACTATCTTTTCTTCGTCCCTTTCGCCTTCATCATTGATCAAGTGTTGTTGTTTTTGTAGACAATCTATGATATTATGGATTCTTTTTCATTACACTAACCAATTAACCAACAAAAGTATTATAAGTAGTATTCAAGATGAAAATTAAGTTGCCAAGGAGTCAAAACTACCGTATGTCTTCGTTATGTGAGATAAAGAATTGTTTATGTAGCGTGAAAGTTTTAGATTAACAAGAACTAGTCGGGAACGTAGCTATACGAAAATAAGAATTTGAGTGCAAGGAATTGGAAAGTGAAAAGATATAAACCGTTACTGTATCCCATGATCGGCTTTAACGGACACTTCAAAGTTCATCAAATCATCTTTGCCGTTTCAAAAAGATATCGAACAAGAGATTGGAAAAACACCAAAAAGTGAAACTTGAAGAAGAACTCAAATCCTGAGATTATGCAAGAACAATTGTGAAACAAAGAAAGATCAATGGAATCTACCATTGTGAAGGCAAAGTAATTCAATCAAGTAGAATTCATGTGACCATATCTACTGCATATCAAAAGAAGCCAAAGTTACCAGTAAATTCATAAGACCCACTCATAGGAATTTGTATTAAAACCATCTGTTGCAATGTAATCATTCAAAACAGTTTTGTTCACTCTAGGCATAATCTAAACCATGCATCACATAAGAGAAAAACTAATTGGAACCAGATCATCCATCACCTTCTTTAAACATTTTGATCAAGCAACTGATTGATAAACAGGCAATGCCAAGCTCTCAAGCAACTTGAGATGAAACAATTTAACATTCTTCCATTTACCAGGAACTGATTCACCAATCCCATTCATGGCCGCTACAACATTCTCTGCAATCTCCTTCCTTCCCATTGACAATTTCGCTACTTTAACAACACTGCAAGTACCCGTACCAACGAAGAACAAAGCCGATTCACAAGCTTTTTCAATCTGCTCTTTCCAATTACCGTGTCTTAAGTTAATCGCAATCGGATTCTTCTTCTTCTTAACAAACTCTTTCCCCAACAGCTTCGGCAAAATCGGCATTAGCCTCCTCTCCGCGAAATACAACTCGAATCGCTTCTCCTCCTCCTCTAATTTGCGTAAATCGGATTTCAATTTGGAGACCTTAATCACTGTGGTGATTGGAATATTCTCTGCTTCGATCTTCTTCAAAGCCGCTTCCTTTGTGATTTTGTTCTTGTGTTTGTCGTCGATAATCAAACAGAGCTCCGGCGAATCTTCGGCGGCCAGATCGATGAGAGGATGAGGAAGAGGGATCATCAAAGGGTTCGTACGATCCAACTGGGGGATTCTCTTCAGTGTCACGGTTAGATAGACGAAACCGTCGTTCTCGGTCTTGGATTTGGAGTCCCACCATTTTAGCAGAGACTTCACGGCTCTGTTAACGTTCTTCGGGTCAACCTTCGACTGGTTTCGCTGCGGAAGATCAGCCGTAGTTGAACTCATTCTCCGGTGAGAAGACGGCGCAAAGAAGACAGGTTGCGTTTGCGGAATTAGGGTTCTGGGGAAAAACAAAAGGGTTTAGGATTTTTTTTTTTTTTTTTACTTTCGATATTATATGCGTTTATTCTTTTTTCTCTTCTTTTTTTTTGTAAAACTCAAAAAAATAGTCCTTTTACTATCATGTGCTTGCCCCCTTTTCCTTTTTTTTTTTTTTTAGAATTCTCAAACGTTGTCTCTGGCAGACCGCCGGCAAAACAAATTTTAGGATGCGTCTTCTTCTTCAATGTGCAACAAGGAAGTGGAAGAACGCTGATTCGTGTAGTATTCTGCTAAATCAGATCAAATTCGATCTCCGAGGCAGATATTCTTGTTCTGCTTTGTTGATTCAGAATTAATCTCAATCCCAGACGAACATTGGCCATCCCTCGAAGTAGCTCACCGCACCGTGTTCGGGTAATAATAGTTGCCATTCGTGGGGATTATTGTGGATTCTATGCTGCTGAGTGTTGTTAGTTTTATCATCAAATTTGAGAATTGTGACTAGTTCGTAAGAGTCAGCGATTTCAGCTGTGATTGCCGTTTTAATACTGTTTCATAGGTTGATCATAGTGTGGATGGTCATTTGACATGAGAATGGAAGAGAGCTATTTGCATCCCATGGTATTCACATTCTTGTATATGATTACTCCCTACGTAATGGTCAGTATAACTCTTCATTATTTTACAAGAAATCTTGTTAATTTTGGTATACACAATGTGTTTGCATTTTAACTCTGTAGCTCTATTCATGAATGTTTTGTTTTGAAGATTTCATTGCCCTTACTAGCTTCTTCTGTTAGGTCTTTGGTCCTCGCTTTCACCTGTGTGTTGGACCTTCTGATATACGGCTCATTGGTCGGTCATTGTGCCTCTCAATCGTCTCAAGTTCAACTTCCTCTCATCTGGTGGATGCTATTACTTTACTGAACTCACCCAGGGATTTCCTGTCATGCTTTTCACTTTCACACTTTTTTCCATTGCGGAAATTATCAAGTCTAAGAATCAAAAGCTCTATGGATCTTAGTAGCTATATACAGCATAATCGCCCACAAGGAATTCAGGTAATATGGATGTACTTTCATAAATGAATACTTCACAGGGGAACAACTTTTCATCGTGAATTATGTTTTCCATGTTGTTTACTTTGATTATGAATGACTGGTTTTTGCTGCCTGTGATACCCATAGCTTTGATATTCTCTGGGTATGCATTTGCTCAAATGGAAGCATCTGATTCATCATCAATCATTCATAATCATCTGATTCCCAAGTCCCTCGAAAGAACCATATCATCAAGTGGTCTCCTAAACTAAGACTTTCAGTCTTCTTTTTGCTTGCTACCAATATCCCCATGGCACTATACATGAATTTATTATTCCATCAGGTAAAAAACTAAACACTCTAGTTTGTGAGTTACTCTCTCGTTCTCTGTCTCTCTCTCTCTCTCTCTAATTGTGCTAAAAGGAATTGTTGTTTTTTTCCAATAGAGAGGAACCAAGGATGTGATGAACTACTTATAGGAAAAAGCAAAAAGCATTCTCTTTCTCATGCGGTCGAGAGTAGTGCGCATTCTCTTTCTCATGCCAAGCCATTCTACTCCTTATTATTCCACTCTCCATAGTAACATCCCAATGCAATTTCTCGACTACATGCCAAGGTAAAGGATCACGCCGAGTTACAGTTTTTGCTTTTATGTGATTCGTAAGGATCATCCTTCTTCTTTTGAAACAGTGAAGATAAAGGAGAATTTGATGAGTCAGACCAATTCTTAATGGACCTTATAGGATTTGCATCAAAGTTAGCTAGAAACTGGTCAGCACTGCCTAGTCACATTGTATTGTTTGCATCAGAAGCAACAAAACTCTGAGATTTTATGATCCAATATTCCTTCAAAGAGGCAAGTTGAAAGCAAGAACACAGTTTTTATTCCCAAACTCTGATGTTATTTGTTTATCTGCATCAGTGAACTGAAATCTGTTTTGTTTGCGATGAAACAGGTCAAAAGTTTTTTCCACACATTTTAAGGTTGATCAAGAACTTCAATCCTCAGTAGTCATCTATGCTAAAAAAATACTGACTAGGTTTATGTATCCTTTAGTGTTTTTCTTTTTCTTTTTCTTTTTTGCCTATTCTGTATGTATTAATTTCGGTTTACAAAATAATTCTTGACAAAAGAAACATGTAAGAATATCGATTAGGTTTTTCAAGTTCGGTCGATATCTCCAATCCTCTTGAGCAAAAAATGTTTTAGGCTGGACCGATAAGGCGGTAACGTGAGCCAGCTAGTAATTTAAATCGACTTTATTTAAGGAAAAACTCGGATCTTTATTTGGTTAAAACCAGACAAAAAAACATACTATGATTTCAACTCTTAAAACCACACAGTTTTGACATGTCTAATTAATGAACCACACAAATATTCGAGTATCAGTTTTACAGTACCCCTTCAAAGTTTCGAAATCAAACTCAAAAAAAAAAAAAAAAGTCTAAGTTTGGAACTTTTGTTGAATTTTTCATCCATGTCTGATTTTCCCTAGGGATTGATGCCCACAAGGAAATTAAGTTGTCACCACCCAAAACAGATAAGAAAGGTAGTTAGTTCCCACATTTAATTTCTCTGGTTACGTACAATCAATGTTAAAAGATTTTTTGTTTCAATGTAGGTCTCACTTATATATCCTTTTTTTTTTTTACATACTGTATATACTAGTTTGTGAGTTTGGACTTACTAATTGACAATATTTATATATTAACCCATGTTTTTTATATTTCACGATATTGCTAGATCTCATTAGCAATATATATGAGATACTGCATGATTATGATATATCAGTCAAATGTGTGTACTTACTTGCAACCCCAATAAGATTTAACAACGCTATATGATGACATAACTATCGATTCATCAGACAGAAAACTAAGGTAGAGTCCTGCAGATAATATTTTTTGTGGGATTGGCTACTGGCTAGTTTCTTGCAGATTGACGTATTGCTGGAAAATTTTGTAAATAGTTTATGGTTTGTTACGTTGTATTATATGTTTATTTTGATATTATCGGATCTGTAGAACGCCAAAGCATTTTGAATGCCGCGTAAACCAGTCTTTTTATATAGATGCGCATTCAATTCTTTTTTCAATGCGGGGTAGAGCAGTTTGGTAGTTGGCAAGACTCATAACCTGAGGTCACACAGGTTCAAATCATGTCCCACAACATCTTTTTTTTCAAAATTTCATTATATTAATATTTAATAGTCATATCTTTTTGAATTCAAGGAAAGAAAAAAAAAAAACACTATACTCCCTGGTTAACTACACTTACTGTTTTTTCTATTTTTTTTTTTTTTATAATCCAGTATCCAGACCACACAGTGATCTAACTAGCTCACGGGGTCTAAGCCCGCGTCACAGAGATTTTTAAGCCTCCACTTAAGGGCCCCTGATAAACTGGTGGTCTGGGACGCCTGAGCAAGTCCGCATGTAAATTCCCAGGTGGCCACAAGAGTGAGAGAGCGAAACTGCGTCTGGGGAGGATCGATCCCTGGCCTAGACCAACAGGGCGATCCTTCCAACCAAACGAGAACCACTCTCCCACCACCATGTGGTTTTTTCTATCTTTTTGAATGGAGGAAGTTGGTATTTGAAATTTAACTAATAAAACGAGTGATGAAAACTCTAATATTGTACTGGAAACTTCTTCTGACATTTGTAAAAATAATCTTATACAATTCTCAGAATTAGAGGTAACTAAAATAATCTTTAATTGACGTTGATATATATATATATGGAAAATGTTATATTTTAAGAATACTTGTGGTTCTACTTTCCTTCTCTACTATCTCTAAGATTACTACTATATATAGAAGCTTTAAGAGACATTTTAAGACACAACCACAACAGACTGAATTTAAATGCATTTCTCATGTCACGCCAAACGATCAGAAGCTGCCCTTTTTGAAAAAATCCCTAGTTTCCGATTAAGTTTTTTTTTCCTTTTCTTTTGATTCCGATTTTAACCTTTTTTTGGTTTGAATGGTTAACTATATTTCACAAAAAAAAAGCAACTGGGGTTGTGGAGGACTTAACCAAACAGTAACCAAAATCACTGTTCCTGTGATCCTGTCGATGGATTCCGATAAAACTTTACTCCACATTTAACCAAGAAAAAAAAAAAAAAAAAAAAAAAAACTAGCTTCAGCTGAAAATGTTCATTGTATCTTGAGATATTGTAAAAGGCCTCGAAGGCTGTATGAAAGCCACTGCATGAAATTGGATGGCATCGATATGCGTGACGTAAGATTTGTTATGGTGAACGTGAGAGTAAAGTTTTATCTTCGGCCGTTGATATCTTATTAAAATCCTCATCCGGAGATATACCAATTGAGTGTTAGCTGGTGAGTGTAGATGAATAATAGTAATGCTTTCTTTTTAGATATTGGTATATATATAAAAATAAAGGCTGTAAACAAAATTATTTTCAATGTTGGTGAGTGAAAACATGTGCTGATGCCAGAGTATTAAAGATCGATGCAAATGGAAGAAGTAGATAGAGCATTTACGATGAGTGGTCAATTGCATTTAACAACTTTGACACGTCGACGTACGTACGCAACAACAACATCCCATATATACCCATACGTTGTTCAGTCTTAAAATGTTCATACAACTCATAACTCAAACAAAAACAAGTCCTCAACGGTCGATGTGTGATCCCATTAGAGAAGATGGCTCTAGCCAAAGAGGCGCCTTGAGTAAGGAAAAAAGGCCGTATATTCATAGAGAATGGTCGTGGGCTGATATAATAAGAGCGTTAACCGTTATGGTTGTGCACTTTTTGTGTCTCTTGGCACCGTTTAACTACAAATGGGAAGCTTTACGGTTCGGTTTGGTGCTTTACGCATTGACTTCACTCAGCATTACATTCTCATACCATAGGAACTTGGCTCACCGGAGCTTCAAGCTTCCGAAATGGCTTGAATATCCTTTAGCTTATTTTGCTGTTTTTGCTCTTCAGGTTATAACCGTTTAACTGATAACCTATATGTCAAATCTTTTACTT